TTCAAAACCTTTTACTGGTATTCTCAATTTGATTCAACTTGGCTTGAGCCAGTGTTTTGATCTTGATGCAAAATATTCTCTGGTCACTGCAAGTTCATTTTTGGTTGTGTGTGGCATGTGGGGGAGTTGTTTATTTTGGTTTGTGGGGTTATTTTGCAAATTTAAGTGACTACATTTGATTAAATCAACTACCCATGGGAAAGAATCACAGACTGGAGATGTCTGTTCAGAGTTGGGAATTGAGGTGAAGAAAGTGGAAGCACAGAGTGATCTTTCCTACAGCACAACGTGCCTACGTTGTTTCCCCTGCAAGAAAGGCACCTCTGCATGTTTGAAGCAGCGAGTAGGACTTGATTTCATGTGATCAAATGCAACAAGTGAATCGAGTGCAACAGCAAACAAAAAATCCTTTCCGTTAGAAATTGGTCTTCTCAAAAGTGGAAATAAAACCCCCAACCTCAAAATTGCAGAGACATCAAAGCAAGTATCGAATCCACACCTGGAGGGGACCTCCTGAAATCCCCCCTTAGTGCTTGGCATCACGATTCCAGGAGATGGTTCCAATCTCTTCTCTGTGCTGACCAGTGACAGGACCCCAAGGAGTGGCCTGGAGCTGTGCCAGGGCAGGGTCAGGTTGGATCTCAGGAGAAGGTTCTTCCCCCAGAGGGTGGTTGGGGGCCCCCCCATCGCTGGGTTTGGTGTCCTTGCCGTGTGTTTACACGCGGTTGGTGACTCTGCTCCCTCTGCTGAAACACAGAGGTGGAACTCCGTGTCCGGAGACAGCGTGTCTTCAGCTGGAAACAGGGATTAAGGAGCAGCCTCTTTGCTGTCATGGCAATGAAATGCATGTCAGAGATAAGGCAGCAGAGCTGATTAAGGCGATAGGGTGGTTGCCCAAGGTACGTGACTCTCATCCCTCAGGCACCTGCCAGGACCGTGACCTGGAGTAACTCCGGGACTGTGCCTCCAGCTGCTGCCAAGTGTCTATGGAATGAGCAAAATCCAGTGTTCGTGGGGGGAGCAAAATGCTGCAGAACATCTTTTAAAAACTAAGAATATCCAGCACTGAGATGAAGCAGGAGAGGAGCTGTTGCTTTTACGTGAACGCTGCTTTTACTTCTAACACCGTTTTTATCTGTGCAGGAATGTAATACCCCTGTCCCAGATCACCACGTTACAGCTGTTTGAGGGGGTGCATTACAACTCTGTAAAGTCTTTGTCATAATCTTACCTTTTTTTTTTCCCCCCCAGAAGTAAATATAAGGGAGTTGCTCACATTGATCACACTGAGCAATTTAAAACACCTGTCAGTGAAGTTTAGCAAACTGAAAGGCGTGCAGACAAAATATTAATAATTAATTAAAATATTACTAATTATTAATTAAAATATTAATATTTAATAATACAAAGATAAAATATTTAATTCCAGCTCAGGAATTATGGATTTGGTGTATTGCTGAAATAAAATTGGTTATACAACAAATAAACATAGTTTACCCCTGCCATTTAGAAGAATCATGCTAGTATTTTCTAATACTGTAGGTATATTCTCTTCTGCATTAACCTCCATCTCTTCCCTTTTCAGTTAAGAGTCCTTGTCAGCCTGAATCCTGGTGAAAAAAAAAAGGGATAATAGTCTTACATGATAGAAATATCACTGATATTTAATCTCTTTTTTTTTTCTAGCACTTGAGTACAAGGAAATAGGAAAACTAGTCATAGTGGTGGTGATTCTGCTGCCCATAGGAGGAGGAGACATGTCTTTTTCAAATGTTATCTGGACAAACTATTACAAATTTTTAAGAGAATTTTCTGAGAAACAGGAACCAACAATTTCTATTAATTCAACTCTATTAACTCTAAAAAGAAATTCTGGGGATAAAATAAAATTATTTCTTTTGGTATGAAGTTTCCTCTCATAATAAAAGCCATCCCTTACCGATTTCAAAGTCCACTGGAAAAAAAAATAATAGAGGTTTTGGAGCTTCTCCAGACAGAATGCAATTATATACAAGTACTCCTACCTATTTATTGTAGGATTGACTTTTCAGGGTGTGGAGTCAGATGGTCAAGTAGCTGAGTAGCAGAATGCTCCAGATACTCTTTAATCTTTATTAAGATTCTTCTCAATTCATATTCTTATTAATGTACTGACGTTGGAAATGCATTTCTGAGCATCACTGACATCTCTGAAGGGTTTTTGGCTTTCACAGACAGCTGTAATTCCCATCCCCCTGAGAGGACTGACAGAGCAATAGGAAAGGGTTCTTAATGTGTGTCTGGCTTCTGTTCCCCCCGTTCAGCATCTTGAAAAGGACAGGGCTGCACTGAGTGACTTTGGGGATAAAGTCCATTAGCATTGTTGGAAGAATAATTTATTCAAGCTATGTGGTAGTTAATGTAATATCTGAATGAATGAAGTTCTATTTAAATATTTACTATAAAAACAATCATGCAGAATTAGAGATAGAAGCTGGACGATGAACAGCAAACAGCACCACCACAGCACAGGACTGTTGTATCACCTTATCCACACAATGCTCTTTAACTTTTTTTTTTTTAGCAAATCTATCTCTTCAAACTCTATTTATGCTGCTGAATCCTAATACTGGCTTTGCAGGATATGGGACATAAAGTCTGTCTAGTTAGTAAAGTTTCTACAGTTGATGATACAGCAAAGATGTTTAGTTTGGTATAAAAACATGCACTTTTTTTGGTTATACTTGCAGCTATTTCCCTAGAGAGATAAGAGAAACAGAATGGAAATCTTATGCTGGGTAAGAACTTCTACTCAAGGGTTTATTTAAACATCACAGTGACTGATTAAAGTGTTCAGATTTACAGCTTTCCTTCAGCTTTCTTTCTGTCAGAAGGTCTTCAGGGCAGAACACACCTTGTATTAGAAATAATGTTAAAGTAGGAGAAAAAAATCTGTTTTCTGCTTAGAGAGACTCTTGTGTTCAATTTTCTTGTTAGAGGGGAATCCTCATAGATGTGATTTCAAACACTAAGAGTGGAGGGAAGAGAGCAGAGAAGGCTTGTAGATAGTCTGCCTGATTGCCCAAAGCTCAAACCTTGCACAACTTTCTAACCAGGTGCCAGGTTCTAGGCTTTATTTTGAATTTTTTGAGCTTCTGTTGTCGATTTTCAGTGAATATTTTACTGTTTCAACAGGTACTGCAATGGCTGCAGGAGTTTTGCTGCAAAATGAACTCCCATACTCTTCGTTGATCGAGAGCAGTGCGTACCTTGCAAATATGAGTTCAGGTAAGAATTTTTCTCTGATGTGCCACTCATAAAAAAAATGCATAGAGCAATCCTGAAAAAAATGAAAATCCATAGAAAATTTAAGAAAAACAGCCAGAAATATTATCCATGTTTATAGAATGAAAATGTCTATAACAAAACCAAAGTGCATTATTTCGCCAGCACATCGTGGGGATAATGTGTTTATCTTTTCTGTAATTTTCATTTTGTCAGGTCTCTTAATGTGTGATTTTTGTGTTGAGAAACTACCTAGCTCTCTGAAAATACAAATGTGCCTTCAACAAAACTCCTCTTTCTAATAAAGTATTTAAACTCTTACAGGATCCAGTTCTTTCTTACCATTTTGGGTGAGTGTTTGCAAATCCTGAAAGATTCACTAGGAAACTAATGATGTGCAGCATTTTATTTTGCTCACTTCTTTCTTCACTATCGTTTGATACATACCAAAGATAAATTTCTGGGAAGAGAAAGAGGAAAAGAATTAAATATAAGAAAGGAATATAATTAATTGGAAAACATTTTTCACATTTCTTGGATACAGGTAGCACTTGAAATAGCCTTTTTCATCTCCTTTCACTTCTACCCCCCCCCTAAAATTAATCTTGATACCAGCTTTATTGATGAATTAAAAGAATCAGAGCTTTGAGACAGCTCAGAGTCAGCTTTAACATTTTCCTTTTCTCATATGACATCACTGCTGACGTTCCAGGCCTGGCACCCACAGCAAACCTTGTCGTGTCTTGGGAAGAGCTGGGGTACAGCATTCAAAAGTCAGGCCCTCAATTCCTGGCCAGTACCCAGAAGAAACAGATTTTTGCCTGGTGAATTTGTCTCAGAAGGGAACTGTCTCTTGTGCAAATTCCTCTGTACAAGTTACTGGTTTTTTAGCACGAAAAGGAACACAGACTGAAGATGCCAAGGAGAATGCAACGGGGTTAATTTGCTTATTGAAAAAAGTTGAGGTGGGTTTTCTTGATTCCCCCAGCCCTCCTCTTTCAGTGCAGCCTAATGCACAGCCATTGGGGTGACAAAGGCTCTTCAGCATCACTGTAGTCTGTTCTCCACACAGTTCTGTTTTTCAGGGAGTTGCAATCTTTCTGGCCACCTCATTCTCCTCATTAGCACACTGGAAGCAAAGTGGGAGGCAATTTGCCACTGCATAGCTACCTTGGAAAGCCTGAAGCACTCAAGTGACACACCTTCTCCTCCACATAATCTGCTTTCTCTCAGGCTACACGACTAATAATGAAGAAGCTGCGGCCAGAAAAAAAAAATCAGCCTTTTGTTTTGAATAACAACTTGTGTTTTGTTAGCAGATATGAATGGTCCAGGCCAACAGTCCACACAATTCATCAAGTGCTGAACCATTTCAGTAGGAACACACTAATCCCAGTCATTGCACAGCTAATGATGCATTTTGGAGCAGCAAAGTGGAGGAGGAGAGGTGCCTGTGGAATGTTAAACCAAGAGGTGGGGGAGTATAATGTACTTCCTTACAGATCTCTCAGGAGGCAGAGCCTCCAGCTACATTTGGATTGTTCTTTTGAATTGAGTGTTTTGTGTCTTAGCAAGTTCTGAATGCCTGTTATTTAGAAGGAATTAAATACTCCCATTGTTCATGGAAAACGTTTTGGTTGTTCCCAGCGCGTTTTGAAAATTACCTACTTGAAATGCAACTATTTTCATCGAGCGAGCAGCGGAACAGTTTGTCCCGAGCAGACGCAGTCCCTGCACTCCCTGGCGAGGAGAGCAGCCCCACGGCTGCATCCTCAGTTGCCATGGCGACCGCTCAGCCCGTGAGGACCGGCGCGCACAGGGATGCTCGGCACAGGGACGCTCGGCACAGGGATGCTCGGCACAGGGGTGCTCGGCTCCCGCAACTCCAGCGCTGAGCAACTCGCCGTGCCCTCGGGGTGCCCGCGGGGCCGGGCGGCCATGCAGGGCTCGCCGCGGCGGCGCTCGGCCGTCAGCATCTTTAGCCATTTTTTCCAGGGTCGGAGGCATTCCTCCTCCGGAGGCATTCCTCCTCCGCCCCCCTCCTCCGCATGAGCCAGAGGCGCCGGAGCTCGGTGGTGGAGCTGCTCTCCTCGTCCACCCACCGCGTGATGGTGGCTCTGTCGTCCCTCAGCCCCGAGGAGCTGGATGCAACTTTTCCCGACAAAAAAAGTAAAGTACTTTTCATTAAGACTGTCGGCAGCTCTGGGTGTTGTATTGGTGTTACTGTGCTCCGGTTCTGTGAACTGTATTTTATGTACGTCGATGAAACAGTGGTTTAATTTTGTCCCCGTGTTTTGTATTTTGCTCGCTGATTCCTTACTCAAGTATTATACACAATGTATATATATGTGTATATAGTACATGCTTTTTACTCCGACAGCTCAGTTATAAACAACAGGTAAAACGGAAGCACACATTCGTGCATACACCAAATATCTGGTTAACTGTTTTGGATTTCAGGATGAAGAGGACTGTGCCTTTTTTTTTTTCAGTTGCAAGGGCTATCACGCACCTCTAACTTCATTAGAAAAAAACTTCTGCACTAATGCAAGCAATTTTTTCCCCTCACTATCCTTACTTGAAAAACGAGTCTGAAATATATCTATTAATATATTTTTATATGTTTATAAGTATATAGTCTAATTAATATATATAATTATTATTTTTATATATATTTATAAATAGGTATATTTTTATATACTTCTGCTGTTTGTAACTTCATCAGTTTGAGGTTGAACTGGGGAGTCTGAAATACATATTTTTACATATTTCTCTTTATAAGTATATAGTCTAATCAATATGTAATATATAATTAATATTTATACATAAATTTATAAATATATATATTTATATCTCTCTGCTGTTTGTAACTTCATCAATTTAAGGCTGAGCTGATGAGTCTGAAATATATATTTATATATATATATATTTATAAGTATATAGTCTAATCGATATCTATATAATGTAAATATGTATATATATTTATAAATATGCATATTTATATATTTCTGCTGTTTGTAACTTTATCAGTTTAAGGTTAAACTGATGACTCCGAAATATATATTTTATATAAGTATATAGTCTAATTTATATCTATATAATATATAAATAATAGTTACATATATTTATAAGTATATCTTTTTATATATTTCTGCTGTTCACAAAGTCATCAATTTAAGGTTGAACTGATGAGTCTGAAATATATATTTTATATATTTATATATATTTATAAGTATATAGTCTAGTCAATATCTATATAATATAAAATTAATATTTATATATATTTATAAATATGCATTTTATATCTATTTCTGCTGTTTGTAACTTCATCAGTTTAAGGTTGAACTGATGCGTCTGAAATATGTATTTATATATATTTATAAGTATATAATCTAAATGATACCTATATAATATAAACATTTATATATTTATTAATATATATGGTTTTATATCTTTCTGCTGTTTGTAACGTCATCAGTTTAAGGTTAAACTGATGAGTCTGAAATATATATTTTATATAAGTATACAGTCTAATATATATAAAATATATAAATAATATTTATATATGAATTTATATTTTTATATCTATTGCTGCTGTTTGTAACTTCATCCGTTTAAAGTTGAACTGATGAGTCTGAAATATATATTTTATATAAGTATATAGTCTAATATATATAAAATATATAAATATTTATATATAAATATATTTTTTATATATATTTCTGCTGTTTGTAACTTCATCCGTTTAAAGTTGAACTGATGAGTCTGAAATTTTATATAAGTCTATAGTCTAATATATATAAAATATATAAATATTTATATATATAAATATTTTTATATATATTTCTGCTGTTTGTAACTTCATCTGTTTAAAGTTGAACTGATGAGTCTGAAATTTTATATAAGTCTATAGTCTAATATATATAAAATATATAAATATTTATATATATAAATATTTTTATATATATTTCTGCTGTTTGTAACTTCGTCCGTTTAAAGTTGAACTGATGAGTCTGAAATATATATTTTATATATTTCTATATATTTATAAGTGCATTTAATATCTATATAATAGTCTATTTAATCTCTATATAATCTATTAGTCTATTGAATACCTCTATAATATAGCACACGTAATTAATATTTTATTTTAATGTATATATTCATATCGCTCTGCTGTTCGTACCTCCGTCGGTTTGAGGCCGGCCCGACGCTTTTAAGGCAGGGCTGAGTGTCCAAGCTCGCCTGACCCAGCCCGGCTTTCCCTGTGCTGCAGGAGGCTCGCGGCGCCCCACGGCCAAGTACACGAAGGTGGGGGAGCGGCTGCGGCACGTCATCCCCGGGCACATGCAGTGCTCCATGGCCTGCGGGGGACGGGCCTGCAAGTACGAGAACCCCGCCCGCTGGAGCGACCAGGAGCAGGCCGTCAAAGGCCTCTACTCCTCCTGGTGAGAAGCAGCTTTTGGTTTTTTTCTCCAGTCAGCTTTTGCTTGGTTGGGAATTAGAGTTAGTGGTCGCCGCTGTAATGATGAGTAATGGTGAGAGTTTGGTTCAGGTCCAAAGGAATAAATACTTATCTGTCATGAATTGTAAAAAAAAACTGGGCTGCAGGCTAAGGTGCAAACTAATTAAACAAGTTCGTAGTAGAGTTGAAAAGTAAGAACACTTAGAGCAGATGAAATAATGTTGGGTGTGTGTTCAGAGGGACATTCATATGCAGCAAGAGTCACATGAAGTGTATCTTTGCATTCTTACTGGGTTTGGCTTTTTTTTTTTGGCCACCAGATAATTAAAGGGCATTTACAAACCTTAGAGTCCAAACCAGCATCTGAGTCCAGATTTCTATTCAAAGGAATTTTTACTTATGTCATGGCATTTAAACAGTTCCAGTAATGGTGTTTTGATAATTTTGTATCTGGATCAGCTTAGTAAGATTTACCACTAATACTACGGGATAGTGGAATTTTTTAAAAATTCATTTCTAATTAATCAGCAAGGTATTTCTGTCTTTATTGAATATAACAGTATTCTTATTTTGGTAGACTCATACCCAAGAAATGATTCATAACCACATTATTATCTACTTCTTTAATTTCTCAGGATAACAGATAACATCCTGGCTATGGCTCGACCCTCAACAGAATTAATTGAAAAGTACAACATTATTGAGCAGTTTGAAAGGTAACAAATTCAGTCATTATTTATTGTAAGTATCACTAGTGTAATTCCTGATCCATTTTCTCTTTCAACATAGATTTGGATTGTTGATAAAGATCCTTTCATTTTAACGCTCTGCAGGTAAAGATTTATTCTCCACTAAGAACAAATGTGTGTTTCAGAAAATAAGGGATAATGAGATTTTGGCTGCATGTAATACTTTGACTCATCTATTCCTTCCTTAAGATATGGCATAAAAACCGTAATTAACCTCCAGCGTCCTGGGGAGCATGCGAGCTGTGGGAACCCTCTGGAACAAGAGAGCGGCTTCACCTACCTTCCTGAAGCCTTTATGGAGGCTGGAAGTAAGTTCCCTCCTGCTGCTCTTCCTCATTAATTATTGACTTTGGCTCTTAAAGGTATTTTTGCTTGAATCCCTGCGTGTTAAAAGCAGCTCTGTAAGAAACGTTGCACAGAATGGGATGTAAACATGAAACTTGGCAAATATAATCAAGAGCAAATAACACATTATTGAAGGTCATGTATTATGTGGAGAGAGATGTAGGGTTTATGTTCAGCTGTTTAAAATGAAGAAAGGACAACAGTTAGTTAAATTTTCCTTTTTCTTCTTTGTTCACAAATATATGAACCATTAACGATGTTTCAAGTTCTGGTACAACTCATGTTTTCTTATCTAGACTATAAAAGGTTATTTCATGTGAGGACAAGAGAGAAAGTGCCTCTCTGTAAGAAGCAGGTGTTGACTGAAGAAGTGCTTTTATTTCTAAAAAAGAAAAAATTGCCCTCTCTCTATATATAGCTCAGTAATCCTGCTCCAATCACTCAGTTTTGTTACAGCTTTTACATTCTGGCTGAACCTCAGGTTTGTTACAGCTTTTACATTCTGGCTGAACTTCACTTTGACAATTCTTTGCTACCTTTGTGTATCTTTTAATACAAAAAGAGAAATGGGAAAATAATCTCTTGCAAACAAGATGTAGTCAGATTTTAAGCTCCATTATGCAGTTTTAGGACTAAAATTTGTTATTAGTCATCTCTGCATATAGTACTACGCAGTTCACATTCGGCCCGGCAGAAAATCACTGTCTCCTCTCTTTTTCTTTTAGTTTATTTTTATAATTTTGGATGGAAGGATTATGGAGTGGCATCTCTCACTACTATACTTGACATGGTAAAAGTGATGGCTTTTGCCCTGCAGGAGGGGAGGGTGGCTGTTCACTGCCATGCAGGACTTGGGAGGACAGGTATGTGCTCTACTGCAGGGTCAACACAATTGTTTTTGTAAAAATGCCAACAAGTCTCTCTGTAAATCATGAATAATTACATTCTATATCATTGCTAGATGTACATCTATAAAATGGTTAAAAGTGCTCTGTCAAAATGTTCTCAATGGCTAGAGGAGTTCAGTTTTAGTATATTAAAAACAGAAACCTGTAAGGTTAGAGAATTTTTTAATCTGTATCACGATTCCATTTCATGCAAATGTGACAGGTGCTTTTGGGTGGGAAAAATTCACCTGGTACACTTCCATTGTCCAGTATTTATTACACATTCACAAACCTGCCAATCACTGTTAGACCAGGTAGATTCGGTGGAGCAGCTAAAATTCCATTTAATATTTTCAAGTCCTTTTTGCCTGTGTCCTTCCCATAGAAGCCCCCATTGCTCCCGTGTCCACAGTGTGATGGAACTCTTGGAGATGCTGTGGTGAGCAACTAGCTCTCACTGGAAGGGTATTGAGAAGGGCTTTACTATCCTGTGGTTCATCAAATGCAACATTAATAAAATAACAGCATCATGTAATAGAGTGTCTTTACCTATATTAATTTCTATCCTATATTTCCACCGAGTATTTGCTTTAGTCTGGCCATTCTTTAACTACTGTATTTTTTACTGTATTTTTCTTTAACTATTTGTATTTTCCAGGTGTTCTAATAGCCTGCTACTTAGTTTTTGCCACAAGAATGAGTGCTGATCAAGCAATTCTTTTTGTCAGAGCAAAAAGGCCTAATTCCATCCAGACCAGGGGGCAGTTGCTGTGCATCAGGGAATTCACTCAGTTCTTGGTTCCCCTGCGAAATGTGTTTGCCTGCTGTGAGCCCAAGGCTCACACAGTGACCCTGTCCCAGTACCTGACCCGGCAGAGGCATCTGCTCCACGGCTACGAGAGCAGGCACCTCAAACACGTGCCAAAGCTGGTTTACCTGGTCTGCAAACTGCTGCTGGACTTGGCTGAAAACAGACAGGTGGTAGAGGCAGAGCTGTTGGACATCCCAGACCTCTCAGCTGAGATCGAGAAGGCTGTTTCTCAGTTGGTGTCCACAGAGCTCGACCAAGACCTTGCCAGGCAGGACAGCGAGATGTCAGACTCATCCCACACCCACTCCTCTGCTTTTGAGACCCAGGATTCTCATTGCTCCCTGGGTCACGAGTGTGATTCCTTCTGTAAAAGAAGGAATGTCGAATGCCTTCAGCCTCTTACTCATCTGAGAAGGCGTCTAAGCTACAGTGAGTCAGATTTAAGGAGAACTGAGTTTCTTCTAGAACAAGACAACACTGTCTGGACAGTGCCTGCTCAGATATTGCAGTGCAACAAGCTCAAGCAGAACAGTGGTGAGGAGTGTTCTGCCCCAGGTGAGCCGAAGCCCCAGCTGGAGTTACACAAGGAAGCCTTAGTGCGCAACACGTGCATGTTCTGGAGCCAGGGCAGGTTTAATTTGGATGGACGGACAGACGGATCCTCGCTGTGCCACAGGAGGGGCTCCACCAAAGAAGTCCAACGCAGCAGAACCTTCTCTTCAGGCCTCGCTTCCATCCACAACGCCAGGGAACCCGGAATGCCGAGGCACAGCTTGGCCAAGGAGGTTGGCCCCAGGAAGGACCGCAAGACTAACATGTATGGCAGGACAGTCTACGCCTCCGAGGACTCCGATTCTTCTTCTTCTTCCAAAGTGAACTTTTCCATTGGATACGAAAGCCAAGGTAGCAGAGATGTGTCGGAGACAATCCCACACATTATTGTGCAGTCAGAATTAAGTCTGGAAGCCCGAAGAGTTTTGGCAGCGAAAGCACTTGCAGATATAAATGAATTTCTGGAAGAGGATGAAGTGAAGCAGAAGGTAGAAACATGGCAGGTAATTTTTTAACTTGATTCCCTGTTATGGGCTCTGCATATTTCACCTTGGTTAGTTCCTAGAATGGCAAAAACACCACGTGGAGCTTTGAAGTGGCACATTGGGACAGCACTTTATATGTGGTTCAGTAAATAATTGTAGCTGTCAGTTATGGGCCAGCTCTTTCACAGGCTGGCAAAATGCACCTACAACTTCTGGTCTGTAGCAGGAGGGTAGAGACCTCACTTCAGGATGTGTTCCTTCATTTTTCTACCTAGGGAAAATTGATGCCATTATCTGTGCTTGTAACTTGGCTGCTGGTAGCAAAAAATAGCACAGATTTTAAGGTAGACCTGTGTTGGTTTTCATCAGTGCTTTCTCAGAACTAATCAGAGGACTCTGTGAGTAAAAGAAAAAGAATTTAGTAGAAACTAAGTTGCTTATCCTCAGAACCAAATCCTCCCAGCAACATTTGCTTTGAAGTTGGAATGCAAAGCTGGTTTATGTATTCCAGTAGAGTACTGGGAGGTTCTCAGCTGCACTGTTTATGTCATCCTTCCACTTTAAAGAATCACTTGTGTTACTGCTGATTAATGTTGATACTTCGGAAAAAAAAAATTTTTTTGGTAACTTTTTAGTCTTTTCCTGTTGAAACATAAGCAGCCAAGTACTGCTACAGTCAAAGGGAACGTTGGCAGTGGTAAATAGATGATGCATTTCCAGTTTTGTTTTGCTTTCTTTTGTTTTAAGAAAGAACTGAATTCTCGAGATGGAGCTTGGGATAAAATCTGCACCGAGAGAGATCCTTTTATCCTCTGCAGCTTGATGTGGTCCTGGATAGAGCAGCTTAAAGAACCTATTATATCCAAAGATGATGTTGACATGCTGGCAAAAAATTGCACAGAATCACAGGAAGCGCTCTACTTGCTGAGAAAGGTAGATATTGGATCTGTCAATTCATTCTTTAACTTTGGGAAGGGAATTGCACTTTTAAAAAGCCCTTTAAAAATCAGGATGAGAATTCATTCTGTATGGAATAGTAGGAGTTGTAATCAGTACTGTGGTGATGAATATTGCAAGAAAAGTACCAGACACAGTCCTTGAACACCATCCAGTAGCAGCTCAACTTCAGCACATTTCCCTGCAAATTCTGCACCTGGAGATCCAGAGGCAAAGATGAGAAACCTTTGCTCTGTGACTCCATGGATGGCTTTTGTTGTGTCACATCTGGCAGCTGTACTTTATGCTTGTCCTACTTGCTGTGCCAACATCTTAATCTGGCAGCTTCGGAAGAGCTGGGGCAAGGAATAGGAAGAATCTGCTAATTCAAAGAAGCAGAAGCCAGGCCTAATTCTTCTACAGAAGTTAGAACTGTGGCCACCTGTGTTGTGAAATCCCTATGATAAATAGGTACTTGTGACCCAAACTGTTTAATTGTGCTTTCCCCAAAGGGAAAATAAATTTACAAGATAAATTTACAAAGGTAAATTAAAAAATAAATAAAATTCTCCATTCTTGATCTCTTAACTATACAAATTAATTTCCTAATTCATTGTGAATTCTTTGTTTCTGAAGTATTTTTGAAGAAAATAGAGCCCCTTTTACTTTTCCAGATACCCAAAAATACAGCTACTAATCAAGAGGTGGTCAGAACTTCATGTGCAGTTACCATCTTCATGACACGACATTCAGAGTTCCCAAGTTTATCTGAAAACATCATGTTTCTTCCTTAAGAATTCTTCCACTCTATCAGAGTTTTGACTTTCTATTTATATTAAATAAAAACTGCTTGGCACCTGCTACAAATGATTGGGAAAGGAATAATAATTTTATCTTTCCTTATCTCATCCTGTATTATTTCAGAATCCCACAAGAGCTGTGTTGGCAGGGACCTCTGGACACCTTCTGGTCCAACTGTCTTGCTCAAAACAGGGTTGCCTAGAGCAGGCTGCTTGTATGGCAGATGCTCCAGTGTCTTAATTAAGGATGCTCTTAAGCTGGAAAAGGGATGGGAAGGAGCAGCCACAACGATCTGTTGCTCCCTTTATGCATCCTTGCTCAGGAGTCTCCCTGCCAGCTTCCTTTAGTGGTTATGGACACTTGGAAGGACAGAGAGAGATGCAAGATCATCCTGAGTTAGATGGGGAAGGAGCCCTAAACATGGCATTTTGGGCTACAAAGATGAAATCTCACCTGTTCTATGCCAATTGACATGAACGTTAATGTTCAGGGAGGGGATCTTGAAAAGTAAGTCTCCAGATGCACATCTGACCTCCTGGAAATTCCCAGAGCAGTTTGTGGTACCTGAGAGCAGTTTTTTCCATTGCAATGAAATAATTATGTAGAGGCTCTTTGGGCTTGTGGGAATTCCCTCCCCAATTCCTGCACCTGAAGGTTTCAATACAGGAAGGCAAAGCCTGATATTTAAACAGCAGTTAACAAAACCTGAATGTTAAAATGTTTTTCATGGAAATATTTCTTCTAATGAGCTGCTGTTCCTTTCACCCACCAGGAGCAGTGTCAGACTATCCTTTGTATTTTACACTGTGTGGTGAACTTGCAGATGCTGCCAGGTGATGTGGAGGAGGCCTTACTTGCTCGTGCTATTAAAGCTTTCACCAAGGCAAGTAACCTTAAATAAATGTCCATGGCATTGCATTTACTTGGTTTAAATCACAAAGGGCTCTGTGAGAAAAATTACAGTAATTCCTTCACACTTATTTAGTTCAGAGTTTACATTTTATAATAATCAGCCTACATAAAGGGTAGCAAATATTCTCAACAAAATAAAACTCTGTCACTACAGCCTTAATCCTTGAGTCTCCTTTTTCTGTTTCTGGACCACTGCCAGTTCATGGGCATCTTCAATTTAGGGAAAAGATCATTTTTAAGTGGTGAGACTAACTAATCACAGAGAGTAATTTACCAAAGGCTTTGGTAGGTTCTGTGCTAGAAGTCTTTCCATCAGATTAAACCATTTTCTGAAATTACACTGCAATCCAGTTCTGTTTCAGACCTGTAATGCAGGATGTGGATAATACCTTCTGCTTTTGGGATCATCCAGTAACAGTGACAGGTGAAGCTGTTGCTCAGCTCAGAGCTGCTTTCTTTGCAGTTCAGCCAATGAAATCTGAATTTGAACAGAATGTTCACCATGCTGCTTCCTAATCTCTTATGTCACCTCTTAAAAGTCATGACATTTCTCCTGCTACTAATTTATTTCAATGTCTAGTCAGCATAAAACTGAAAACACTTAGCATGAAGCACTCCGTCAAACACATACCTTCTCTGATAAATCTCAAAGCCACTTTTTAAAATGTTGGGCATCTACTTTGGGTTTTGCTGTGTGATATCTATTTAACAACTGAACTGAAATTTTTCTCTTTTATTAGACAAGCTTCGATTCTGAAAATGGACCATATGTTTACAATACCTTGAAAAATGTATTTAAACAAACACTGGAAGAAAAAAGGAAAAGGATTAAGGAAGGAATAGAGAATCCTTCTTGATTTCTACAAGCTCTGCCGAAGCACTAGATGGGCCTACCAAATTATTTTGCATTTTCCAGCTACTGTATTTTGTGCTACCTGGCATGATCTACCTAACTTTAGGTAATAGTTATTAACAAATAATTTTATTTTTTTAGAGGGAGTTTTAGCGACAGTTGTTCAATCTACACAGCTTTAAAGAAGAGCTCCTGTGTGACCATCCTCTGTAGCATTTGGTTTTCAGGCACTGTGCTTTTATATTGTGAAGGGTTCTCCTGTTCTCAGATGTGTTTATTGATTTAGAAACCTCTGTTGTTGGCAAGAAACATTATTTTCAAGTTACACCATTGCCATAAGTTCAGTGCCATGATACACAAAGGTTTGATGAATTAATATTTATGGATTACATATGTTTACATTAATGTAAATTTCATTTTACTTTGCAGAAAATAAATATTGGCTGAACCATTGAAACTGCTTTTCCTTTTAGAAATTTTAAAATAAGGCAAAGAGTAATAATGGACAGATCTCGAGGTCTGCTATTGACAGCAGGCAACATTTTCCTTTAGATCTCTTAAATAACTGTAACCAGTGTGTTTCTAAAAGGTGTTGCAGGAGAGAAACACATTGTGTTGAGTATTAGTTATCAAGCCTTTAATTTAGACTTTTTCTGGCTAAGAAAGCTTTAAACAGTTTTTAACAGGAAATTGACTGTGGCAATTTAAGTGCTTAGAATAAGAGTAAAACGTTACCTTATTAGCTAAACTTTTATTGATCTTAAATGAAAAACCACTTCATTGTGAAATCTTAATAAGGATATAATTCTGTCCATACTTATGTTCAGCAAAAACTTGCATAAATAAGTGTAACATAATAATACTAAAAATAATTAATCAAAAACTTATTATCCGCAATACACTTTGTAGAGACCTTTTTATCTAATAAGACAGAAACAACTGGAACATCATCATAACTGCAGTTTTGGATTCCAGCCTTTGGCTTTGGACTGGAATGCCAGTTTGCAGGATCAACAGTTTATCCAGTTTGATATATTTAAGTAGTTAAACAAGAATCTGTCCTTTTCCAAAATATTTTTATTCATTAATGTAAATGACTAATATTTAGAGATAAAAATAGAGCGGTTTGAAATAGATATAAATTATACATGCTTCAACTCTTGCATGATTTTATATGAAATTCAGATCCATACAAGTAGAATCATCCTAAAATAAGCACACTTGAAAGGAAAATATCACATGTGAATCACATACACAAACCCAGCTTTGTGAAGAGGGAAGGCAACATGACAAGCAGTTTCACATTAGCATGCCTTAGCAGTCAGGCTTGGGAACACTGAAATGCATTTGCAAGTGTCTTAGTTTCCCAAGAAATTCTTTGAGTTTATTACAGCTAACAGCTCCAAAGAGCCAGCACCAATTCCTGGTGCTATTTACTTTAGCTGTGTATTTTAGCTTTTTATTTCTACACCCCAATACACTTGGGGTGCAGAAACCAGGTCAGTTTTGTTTAGGTCAGTGTAATGAACAAGGGCTTTCACAAATCATTAGCTCCAGCTAGAATAAATAACCTTTCTGAAGTTAATGTCAGGTGTTGGCATTTGAAAAATTACCAACACACAGCCCGTGTAAATGGATAGTGTAGGACTGGGCACTTCTTTATTTAGTACATTTTTTGGTTCACTGACAAGTGTGTTTACAATTATGGCCAAACTGGACACCACATCTGGTTGAACCCATCATGGATAAAACCAAAAATAGCCCATCTGAATGAATACTCAAACCTAAAAACTTTAGTAGCAGCCTCTTAATTAATTTGTGACCCAAGTGATGCAAATCAGGGTGACCCAATTGTAGCCTTCCTGTACCTGAAGGGAGCCTGCAAGAAACATGGAGAGAGACTGTTTATAAGGGCTTCAAAGTGACAGAAAATAGGTTTAGATTAGATAATTAGGAAGAAGTTCTTCCCTGTGAGGGTGGGGAGGCCCTGGCACAGGTTGCCCAGAGAAGCTGTGGCTGCCCCATCCCTGGGAGTGTCCAAGGCCAGGTTGGACGGGGCTTGGAGCAACCTGGGCTGGTGGAAGGTGTCCCTGCCCATGGCAGGGGGTGGAATGAGATGGTCTTTAAGGTCCCTTCCAGCCCAAACCAGTCTGTAACTCTGTGATGATTCTATTAAATGTTTAAACAGCAAATACTCCTTGTCACTTCCTCATACACAGCTCTGTGGGACAGCCTTGCACCTGTGGGTGGTGTGTGGGCAGATTTCTCCTCACACTCATCAGGAGCACTGCCTTGCATGCTGACACTCAGATCCTCACCAAATCCTGCTGCACCAGGATGGCAATGGGCCAGCAGCAGGATGGGACAGGAGGACTCAGCCTGCCTCTACTGCTTTCTCTGTTCTTCCACAAAATTCCTCTCCCATTAGAAGGTCACCTCCATACCAGCAGCAGCCTCCCGTGCAACAACTAGTGCAGTAAATCACTGAAAACTTGCTATCTCTATTGAGACTTTTCCTGAAGTCACATCAGGATCTTTGGATCCCCAACCTTGCCTTACAGGACAAACCCCTCTGCTGCTGCTGTGCTGTCCATCTCTGTAACCACAGGGTTCTTCTTTCTTGATCCTCTCTTCCCTCAAGTCCACCAGCCAGCTCACTTCTGAGGTGTGGTAAGATATGGTAACTACCAAAATACCACTAGAAGAACCCTGAATAGGAAAACATGCCAGTCACACCCTTTGGAGTCCAATGCCTCCTTCTTCAGTGCTTGCCCTCGTGCTCTGCCACCTCACTCACCGGAGTGTGACTCATACACTGCAGCCTAAAGTTAGGTTTTTGCAACATTTAAATAGCTGTACATGGCAGGACTACTGAGGATAAATTACTACAGAAGTAAAAAAACTGTGCACCATCCCAGGCCAGAGATGAATAGGTCCAGGAATTTTGGAAAGATGAGGACAAGGTAGCAGAGCAAATAGAACTGTGTAAAACCCAGCTGAAAATAAAAGGAGGAAATGGCAAAGGAGTTGTTTGTGCAGTTTGGGGGGTTTGTTTATCTTGTGCACAAAAGGAAATCAAAAACCTCCCCACCCCCAAAAAGATTGGAAATGTGGAATATACTCCATAGTAGGGTCTCAGACCTCTGTAACCTTAAAACAGTTTTATCATGCTGCAACAATAACAGCTTGAGCCAGTGCCTCTGAGGAGGGACCCTGAACAAAGAACACCCTGGGCTTTCATACCCTCACAGTGTAAGGGGTCTTCCTGCTGAGCCGTGGGCTCTGCTGTGTGTGAGTGTCCCGTCACCTGGCTGGTGTCACAGGGCCAGCCTTCTGCTGAGCCCTCCCTCTCATACAGTCTTAGGGTCTGTCAAATTTGGCTTTTCACTCTGATGCACCATCAGAACCACAAGAGCACATTGTCCCTGAGGATGTGAAAATCCCAGAACGTTCCTGTTGCATGATGCCCCCAAAAGCAGACCAAGGGTCTGTACAGATGTTGACTCATTCCCCTTTTCCCAGACATGCTGCACACATCAAAGCTGCTATTTCTGCTCCCTGGGCACAGTTCTGCTTCTGTTCCCTGTCTCTGGCTCCCCACAGCACACCCAGATCCACACCATCCTTGGAGGGAGTAGGATGAACCATCTGTGAATAGAACTCTGGGTTATGTGAGGGAGCATCCCTTAAATCAGTCCACAGTTCACCTGAAATGTGCATCACTTGCTCATACTGCTGGTGCTCTCCTCCATCACCACGTATTAGGCTTGCTGGATTCAAGATGTTGCATCAAGTCCTATCTATGTGCCCGTTGTGGCTTGGGCTGTTGCTGCTGCCCCTTGCTGAGCACAGGCTGGATCCAGTTGACTGATCTCTCATGGGCTCCTCATTTCTGTGTTACCACTCCACAGGTGATCCCATATCTATTAGTTCTTGGTCGCCTCAGTCCAAGGTTTAGGCGATTCCCCCCCAGTCCAGAAGTCCATGGCCAACAAAATCCCACAGCTCTGAGAAAACTTCGTATCCGCTTTTTGTGACTGCACGTGGGAGCTTAATTATGGCCTCTCTTTCTTCTGGATCTATCATTCATTGCCCCTTTCCGAAAATGAAGCCTAAATATTTAACCTTTCTTTTGACACAGCTGAGGTTTGGGTGGAGATGCAGTTGTTCCTTGTTCCCTGTTTCCAGGGCAATATGTTTAGTACACAGGCGTTCTCGTCTCAATTTGCTAATGACAAATGTCTGCATGAACCAACTGTACAAGAAGCGATTCACTCAGCAATTTTATACCTCAGTTCCAGTGCATTGAGTGCCAGACTTCTCCGCAGATTCAACAGGCCTAACCTTCTACCTCCTGAAGGCCACAACAATTTGGGGTCTCTCCTAACGTGTGCAGGGGGTTGTGGTCTCTCACTTGGCTCACAGGGATACTTTGGGGTCTCTCCTAAGGCGTGCAGGGGGCTGGGGTCCCTCGTGTGGCTCACAGGGATATTTTGGGGTCTCTCCTAAGGCGTGCAGGGGGCTGGGGTCCCTCGGCAGGCACGCAGTGGGGTTAAACTTTGGGGGGTTTCTTGCTGCTCTTCCCAGGCCGGGCTCTGAGTCGAGGCCATGCCGAGCTGGGAGCAAATGTGCTGTCCCTGCTCTGCCTGGGCTGCTGGAACAGCGGGCGGGCCTATCCCATCCCATCCCATCCCACCACATCCCATCCCATCCCACCACATCCCATCCCATCCCACCCCATCCCACCCCACCCCATCCCACCCCACCCCATCCCATCCCATCCCACCCCATCCCACCCCACCCCATCCCATCCCATCCCATCCCATCCCATCCCATCCCATCCCATCCCATCCCATCCCATCCCATCCCGGGGCCCTTCCCAGGGCAGTCTGGCCGGGCCAGGGACCCGCGGGGCGAAGGGGCCGCGGGGCAGCCTGACGAGCCGGGGGGAGGCACAACAAGGGGCCTCCTCGCTGAGCCCTTGGCTGGAGCTTTTCCGAAGCAGAATTCCGGTGTTAAGAGCCTCCAAAGCAGCCAAGAGCCAGAGGAGCTCCCGGAAACTTTCATGCGAATCCAAGGCAGACCCCACTGCACACCCCGCGCTGAGCTCTCTGCCCCTGACAGCGCTCGCAGCCTCTTTTCTCCCGTGCCCGAGCGCGGGTCCCTCCCCGTTCCCCCGCTGGCCCAGGGACCGCGGGGTTACACCTTCCCCACACGCCCACAGCGCCCCCAGTCCCCGGCCAGCAGGGGAAGGGGCCCCGGCCTTGCCCAAAGGGGGGCCCGAGTCTTTGCTGCTGGTTGGTCCCCTTGTCTCTGGGCAAACTGCACCTCTCTGTGTCTGACAACTGCACCACCAGGCCCTTGGCACTGCACCGCCGACTCTGCAAGAGCGCCTCTTCATCCCTAAGAGAGCCCAACACACACCTACAGCCCCGGCGCTTCGCCAGGGCACAGGAG